ATAGGCTTATATATTTAAATGCTTAATCCACAATTGGTAGAACTATTTTGGGAAGAATTAGGAGATGTGGCCTTATTGGAGGAGGTGTGTCATTAGCGGTGGGCTTTTAGGTTTTAAAAGTCCACACCATTCCCAGTTAGTATGTATCCCTCCCCCCCCCCCCCCCCCACTATGCTTGTGGATCAAATGTAAGCCCTTAGCTACTGCTCTGGCACCATACCTGCCTGTCTGTTGCCATGCTGGCCATCATAATGGTCCCCTGGACCTGTGAGCCCCAAATTAAATGCTTTGTTTTGTAAGTTGCCTTGGTCATGGTGTTTTGCCACTGCAATAGGAAAGTAACCAAGACAGGGACTAAGGTTTCACAAGCTGGGGACACTGCTTTCAAATCAGCCAGTAGAGTGTGTAGGAAGCAACACTGCACTGGTTTGTCATTAACAACCCTTTTGTGCCTCCATTTTCTCATCTGCAAATAAGCTGACCCCTTAAGTGATCTGTAACCTCTTAACCCAGAACAAATTTCCTTTCACACTACTGCAGAGGCTGCATTAACTACAAGAAAACTGTTTCAGAATATTTGTTTACACTGTGTGAAGAGGTGTCACTATGATTGGTTTAATAAAGAGCTGAATAGCTAATAGCTATGCAGGAGAGAGTAGGCGGGACTTTCAGGGAGAGAGGACTCTGGAAAGAGCAGAGGCAGAGGGACACCTGAGAAAGTAGGACAGACAGAGAGACACCGAGAAAGTAGGACATATGGTACAGAGGAGAGGTAGCTAAGCCAACGTGGCAGAATGTGGATTAATAGAAACAGGTTAATTTAAGTTGTAAGAGCTAGTTGGAAATAAGCCTAAGCTAAAGGCCAAGCTTTCATAACTAATAATAAGTCTCAGTGTCATTATTTGGGGGTTGGCAGTCCAAGAAAGTCTGACAAGAAAGCTTCCTACAGAGAATATCTAATACCGACAAGTTAAAGGATTTATTTATTTTCACTGTATATGCATGTGGTGTGTGGAGTATGTGTATATGTGTGTGCCCACCAGAATGCTTGTCCATTCAAGAGGGCAGAGGGCACTGGTGGCCCTATCATGCCTCATCTTATTTTCTTGAGGCGGAGTTCAATAAGGTAAACCTGGACACCACCATTTCAACTAGAATGGCTGACCAACAAGCCCTAGGGATCTCTTGTCTCCCCCCACCAGAGTTAGGGCTCCAGGTGTGTGTGTGGCCATGCCTGCCTTTTTATTTGGGTGCTGGGTATCTAAATGCAGATCCTCATCATGTCCTGCAAACACTCTTTCCCACCGAGCCACCTCCTCAGCCCAGGAAGTTTTTCTGTGGAGTCACCCATCATGGCAGGGAGGGCATGCCAGAGCAAAGTAGCTAGCCTAAGGTGACCAGCAAACTAGAAAATGCCCTCACCACTGGCTTTCTCCTTTTATTCATCTGCAGTCTAAGGGTTGGTGCCACCTACATTCAGGCAGGCCTTCAACCTTTAGTCTCCTCTGGAAACACACTCAGAGATACAGCCAGAGTTACTAATCTCGCAGGTGTCCATCACAGAAGGCCAGTGACTTGGATAAATTCACCCCTATGAGCCTGGATCTTTTCATATGAAGACAGACTCTTCTCATCTTCAGAGACCCCACCTGTACTTACCTTATGGGGTGTATATATTTGGTTTTTTAAAAAAGACATTTCTCGCCAGGTGTTGGTGGCACATGCCTTTAATCCCAGCATTCAGGAAGCAGAGGCAGGCAGATCTCTGTGAGTTCAAGGCCAGCCTGGTATCCAGAGCGAGTGCCACGATAGGCCCCAAAACTACACAGAGAAACCCTGTCTTGAAAAACCAAAAAAAAAAAAAAAAGGCATTTCTCTCTGTCCTTCCCCGCCCCCTCTTTTTTTCCATTTTTTTGAGACAGAGTTTCTCTGTTTAAAAGCCCTGGCTATTTTGGAACTCACAGAGTTTGTAGACCAGGCTAGTCTCAAACTCACAGAGATCCACCTGTCTCTGCCTCCCAAGTTCCGGGACTAAAGGCATGTGCCACATCACCAGGCATAATATATTTTTTAATATTCAAAAAGCAACATGGTTTATGGCTGAGAGCGGGACTACCTGGGTTTGACTCCTAATTCTTTCCCTTGCTAGCTATGTGAGCTCAAATCAGGATCAGGGCACACCTGTCTATTTCAGGTGAAGCCAGTACTTTGCTCTGTAACCTCAGAAACTTCCTTTAATCTTTCTATGCCTTATTTTCCTCAACTGCAAAACAATGGGTTTGGGCAAGTTTAAGGGAAAACAGCATTTTTGAACAAAGAAAGATCAAGTCTGGAAAGAAAACATTTTGGGCCTTGTTTTCTTATCCATCAGTCTACTGCAGGCAGTATCTCAGCATGGGAGCTGCTTGGCTGCTATCCCAACACCCCATGGGGCTAAGGGCCCATTGCAATGGCCTGGGTGACATCTGACCCAGTCACACCTATAGACACCCAGATGTGAGAATAAGGTACATTCACAGGGTGCTCTGTCTGGAGGCTTAGGAGTAGCCACTGCTGCTGGCTATTGCTGACCTCTTGTCAGGGTGACTTCATGGAGCCTCCGATTCTATAAGAAACCCCAGTTTCCTTAAATTATCCACCCCGCACCCTAGGCTAGCAGGTTAGGAATCGTGCGCATGTCGAGTTTCTCCACAATTTAGAGGCTTAAGATGACCTGTAATTTCTCTAGATGTTGTGGGTTGGGTGGTTCTACTGGCCTTGCATAGGGGTATAGGGTGGCAGTATTCACCCACTGCCAGGAAGGGCTACTGGTTTGTGGGATATATTCTCCACAGGGCCTTCCTACTCTGCTCACAGGTGTACATGGAAGCAGAAATGCCTATCTTACACCACACCTTAGAAAGCCTCCTTTGCCTTTGGCATCCCCATTCCCCAGCATTCTGGTAGGAGTGACTGAATCACAAGGTCAGCCCTGATTCAAGGACCTAATACATTTGGGTGTCCCACCTCTCAGGCTGGGAGCCACAGTAATCCTCCCTCCCTCAAGCTGTTGGTCATGTATGTGGTCATATGGTGGGCAAGCTAACAGCTTTGACCCTCTTCCTCATCTGAAAGAAAGGCCAGGCACTCTAGGCTGAGGGGGCTGGCATTCTTTTGAGTATGTGCTGTGTGACAAGCACTGTGGCTGCTGGCAGTCCAAGGTGCTGCAGGAGACCCAGCTCTCTGAATTCTGCTGCTACTTTTCTCCACACAAGCCTCTCTGAGCCTGTGTCCTTATCTGAAAATGGGGTTTGGTGATGGCTCCCACCCCACACATTAGGAATGGCTGTGGAGATGAGTGACAGATGGACAGCACTCAGTGCCATGTCTGCCTTCAGTAAGAGCACAGCCAGTGGTAGTTGGTACTAAGGGAAGCTTGAACTCTGGCCACCTACTCCCCAGAGTAGGTAGGTATATGGAGAATTCTTGTCCTGAAGAGATTCCAGGCTCAGGATGCTGCCTGCTGTAGCTGGGTCCCCTCACACTTGGCTTTTAGATCCCTGTGGCCCTCACTCAGTCCACACACATGCTGTATCTTGCTTTTTTATTATTAAATCACATACAACTCAGGGCATCAGGCCCCACAAACTTCATTAGAACCTGGGATTGTAGGAAGTAGGAATCAAAGGCTGGACACAGTCTCTCCATCTTTTTATGACAGGGACAAAAACATCAGACATTACCCCAAGGAAATGGGGGTTCTAAAGGCCCAAGAGAGGAGACTAGGAGAATGACAGCTACCCTGAGGTTAGGAGGGTGTGGTGCTGGGGTTATGGTCTGAGTGCTTCTGTCCCCAAATTTACGTTGGAGTCCTCATGTTGAAGGCTTTGAGGTTGACAGGTCATGGAGTAAAACCCTCATGAGTGAGGCTAGTGTTCCTATATGAGGCTTAAAGGAGCTTGCCTGTACTTCTGCAGCATGAGGATATGGACAGAGAGGGTCGATGGGTCCCTTCATCTGGGCTTTGCTGCCCCAGAACGTTATAAACCAACTTCTGTTCTTAGTAACTTGGTTTATGCTTTTTTTTTTTCTTTTTTTTTTTTTGTGACAGGAGCCAGATAGGCTAAGTGAGAACCAGTGGGCTCCTTCAGCCCCAGCCCCAGAGAACATAAATGTCTCTTACTGTCATGAGGGGTTCAGGTATTCAAAGGGCTCTGTCATGGGAACAGAGGTTACAAGTGGACTCCACTTCCTGCCTGCAGATGGAGGTGTTGGGGGAGGCCATGACGGAGAAGAGAAGAGTACAGAAAGGGAGTACAGCTAGGTAGCTGGGCCAAGGGAAGCCAGGCAGGTAAAGCTGGGGTTAGGGACTGCGGAGGAGCTCATCACCCTACTTAACCCGTAAAAGATGTGTGGCTCTCCCCCGTTCTAGAGCTGCAAATATGAAATGCAGAGGTGAATGTTTTCTTATCAGCCACCCCAGGGTGCAGCTGCCATGAACAGGTCTGCCATACTCATCCACACTGAAGAGGGCAGAATGGCCATTTCCTCCCTTGGCCAAGCTCCCACTTCCCTTCAAAGGCAGGCTGAGGTGTTCCTGATGTTAATAGCACCTAAGCTACTACTCTACCTGCCCTGGATCCCAGAGGTGTGGGGTCACCCAAATCCCTTCAATTAGTGGGATCACAACCCATCTCCCTTGTGTAGAAGACATCACTTCATCAATCCAGCCCCTTAAGGCTGCAGCTGGTCCCAACCCCAGAGATGATATGGAGGTAGACAGGCTCTAGGAGGAGGCAGGTAGGGGTGCCATTCCTGGTAGGGTTTTCCCAAAACAAGATGGGGCAGACAGGAGATTTGGCAGCTTTCTGACATTACCAGGAAAGACCCTGGCTCCTCTTAGATCATATTCCAAGGAGGATGTAAACAGTATTGCTCAGGGCCACACTGGCTAGCTCCATGGGAAGCCTTCAGTGCTGTGTAGGCCCCACTTGGGTTCAGTCCCAGGTCCCTGAAGAAGCTCACACCCCAATAGCACTCTTCTCACCCTCTTTGGAGCTGGGGTCCTCTTGGGTCTTCTGCATCTCCCAGCCCCTGACCCAGGTATAGGCTGAGGAGCCACCCAGCACCATCAGGTTGCTTGTCCACCACAGGAAGCTCTTAGTCTCTTCATAGTAGAGCACGGCCAGCACTGTCTGCGCACAGGCCTTGGCTGTGCCTGATACATTGTGGGTCAGGGGACTGGTGAATTTGATCTGCAGTCCTGTCACATAGCCAATGGCAAAGCCGAAGAGGCCACCCAGCGTCATCATGAGCCAGAAGTGGGCACTGTACAGATGAGCAAAGTCAAGGAGGGCACGGAGCTCACCCAGCAGAACCATCAGGGGCAAGAAGAGCACACAGGCATTGACATTGTTATAGAAGGTTAGGCGCCAGATGCTGTTGTCCACTGCTGGGAGCACCTTCTTGGTATAGATGGCATTGAGGGAGACGCAGAGGCTGGCCAGCACCCCGAAGATGGTGCCTATGAGGGACAGGGTGCCCTCAGCTCCCTCTTGGTCTATACCCAGCCAGAAACCACCTGTAGCAGACAGAGGAGTGACAAGGTGAAGAGGGATGAGGAGAGAGGGAGAGGGACAGGATTCTGATACCACAGTTCAGACTGTTCTGTGGCCCTTACCTCATCATCAACATATCCAAAGTCTAACTCCCACACCAAAAAATGGCTGAGGGAGTAGAGCCCAGAATGAAAATCTGCATCTTCCCTCCCACTCCCCCAGCCACCTACATCTCCCCCTCTCCCAGCTACAATCTAGCAGGGGAATGTGTAAGGACAGTGTGGCCCTGTTACCTCTCTAATTATAATTGTAATCACTGTAATGAGGGCTATAAGATAACACGGGTGCTATAGGAGGAGGGCCAGGCAAAGTGACCTTGGGCAAGCACAGGACTCTAACTTGGCTTTGGCTCCCTCAGTGTGAGCATTTGGTTAGAGCTGCTTAAGGGTGGATGTTGCTTTGAGTCTCATAGGACTCTATTCACTTGTGGGTCACTCTCTGCTCAAAGAGCCTGCATAGCTTTCCAGACCACAGCATGGGGCCAGCACTTCCTCTCTTCATTTAGATCCTGCATTCCCACAAGGTAGAGGCTTACTGATGCCACAGGGATCAGCAACATGGAATGGCAGGACCATCACAGGCATCAGAGAGATCTAGACTCTGACTGTTCTGTGATTTTGAAGCTGAGCTATTTGGGAGAAGTTACTTAACCTCTCTGAGTTCCAATTTCCTTCATCTATGAAAATTGGGGCCATGTCCTTGCTCCCATGTTAACCAATCTACTCTTTGTCTTGTAACTAAAATGATTTTCCTCCGTGGCTCCCCATGGCCTTCAGGAAAAACCTTACTCATTCAAATGGGTGTTCCCAGTCTGTACTCCTCAGGCAGCCACATGCCAGCAAGGACTTCTCAGTAAGGCCTGCTTAGATTGCTCCTCCTCCTCCCTACTCTAGAGTCCCCACAGCACTTATCAGAGATGGGCCCTCCCTCACAGGAGGAAGGAAGAGGAGACCCAACAGTTGGGGCCAGTTCCGGAGGCCGCAGAGTTCAGCCACTCAGGCAGGCTGCTGCGGTTCTCAGCTGCCTCACTATCAGGTACTGGTTACTTTGGGGATCTGAGCTCAGGTTCTCTAGTGACTGTACCTTCTTGCATCTAAATTCCCCACAAGGAGGCTCATGCCCTCTAACCCTGGCAAGGCTGGGAGACTGAAGTGGGATCCCAGGGTGCCTTGTAGGACAAAGAGGAAACAAGGAATACCAGTTCTCTTAGGATGGATGTGTGGGGGCAGGTGGGAGTTCCCCATGGAGTCCCCCAGTGCTGTCAGCTTTTTATCTGACTCCTCCCTGGTCCAGACCCTTTACCGATGGATTCAGGAGCTGCTCAACCAGGGGGACATTTCTAGGGCAGATGTGCGCATTGGCCTGATCCTGACATCCAGAGTACCCAGCCTGGGCCTCTGAGACACCAGAGGAGACTAAGTAGGTCAAACAGGACAGATAAAGAACCTGAGTAGGTACAAATGAAGGTCACATTGCTGCTTGCCCAGGACTCTCAGGGAACGGATGCCTTGGTCTTTGTCACCCAGCAGTCACTCAATTCAATGATCTCAGGGCCAGATGTTTCCTAACACATGCTGTCCTAGCCAAGAGCCTCTAGCTACATATGACTACCGGGCACTGCAAAGATGGTTGCAGAATCAGGTTGTAACTCCTGCAGTTGAGGAGCTCTGGATGTTTAAAAGTTCATCTGACTTTAATTTAAAAGCACTTTTGGCCTGTAGTTATTGTGTTTGACTGCAACATGCTAACTTCCAATGGGCAGGAACAAAGTAAACTGGCTTGAAGCACAGGCCAGGGAGTGTGGCCAGTCTGGGATGGCATCCCAGCCTATCTTACTTGTGGGGCCCTGGCAAGTAGCCTTGTTTCTCTGAGTTGCAGTTTCCCCATTTGTATGCAGACGACCACAGGGATGGCACCTCCCAGAGGGCTTCCGGGTAAAAGGGGATAATGATCAGCAGGACATTCACATCTGGGAAAATAGTTAAAGCCTCTTAAAAGCACACATATATTGGACCAGTGAAATGGCTCAGTGGGTAAAGGGATTTGTGCCAATCCTGATGACCTGAGTTCAGACCTCAGCACCCATGTGGTGGGAGAAAGGACCAATTCTTAAGTTGTCCCCTTATCTCCACCCATACACTGTGGTGGCCCCCCAAACACACACACATAAAAAGTAAGAATAAAACTTAAAACATATGTCTACCCACTATTTCAAATGTTACCTCAAGGTAGCAATGTCAGATGTGTTGTCCTCTTTAAAGAGAACTGGACAGACAGGATCCTGGAACTCTTGAGAAGGAACAGTGGCATGGTGGTCATAGTGTGATCTATGGAGGTAACTGCTTATGTTTAAATCCCAGCTATGTCAGTGATTATTAGCTGTGTGATCCTGGTCAAGCTACTTAGCCTCTCTGTGCCTTGGTTTTCCCTCTGTAAAATTCGGATATATTTTACCTTGTAATAGGGATTAGTTGAGTTAATGTGGATCCAATGCTTAGATCTGAGTACCTGGCACATTTTAATCATGCAAGTGGCGAGAGCCATCTTTGCTGTAGTTGCTGCTAACATTATTTTCACCCTGGCTGGGTCCCTAACTTGTTGAATGACCATAAGGAAGTTATTTGTTTTCTACAGGGCTCTTCCTGTAACTGCTGATGCAAGGGACCTGGGACAGTAAGTAAAGGTACCTACAGTGTTGACCTTTAGGGCTTCAGTTCGATGCCCATCCTGCTCCCACAGCCCCCGGGCCCCACTCACCAATGATGATGCCACATGTGAGCAGGGCATAGAAGGAAGTGGTCTGTTTGAGCAGCAGGTAGGACAGAAGCACATTGAACACGGTGGTGAGCGAGCGCCCCACGTTGTAGAAGGCCACCCCTACGTACTTGAGGCAGAGGTTATTGAAACTTATCATGCCAATGAAGACTACCGACAGTGGCAGCACGCTGCGGGCCACCTTAAGGTCCAGGTTCAGGGTGGGGAAGTCAACGGTGCCAGGGCAGCAGGTGGCCAGAGTGCTGAGGCCCTTGCACAGCAGAGAGGTCACCAGGCATTGGTAGAAAGTGACGAAGATAGGGGTATCCAGCTGCAGGGAGGGGCTGTCCAGCAGGTACTTGTTGAGGAATACCATGGAGATGGAGGTGACCCAGTAGAGAGAGACGACCAGCGCGATCTGCAGCGCCCGCAGCAGAAACGGCTTGTTCCTGCTGTCTTCATCTGCCTCCTCAGAGGCAGTGGAGCCTCCAGTCAGCGCCATGCGCAGGATCCTGGACCGCTTCAGAGGGGCCCTGTTCATGGTGGTAGAAGAGCTAGGTCACCCCACGGCCAGAAGCACTCCCTGGTCTACAGGGCTCCAAGATGTTAGGGTCTGGGGGTACAGCCTTCAATTGTCACATGGCTTGGGTGAAGTTCTGCTTGCCAGAGGCACTGCTCCACATCGCGCTCGCTCCCGGGCGGGGCAGGGGGTCATGAGACAAGACCCAGGGAAGGGAGAAGGGGCCTAGCTAAGGGTGTGAGCCTTGACAGCCATGGCCGGCTGGACCACAGGGGCTGTTGCCTAATAGGGACGAGTCGAGGGGAGAAAGGAAGGGAGAGGGACAGAAGGGCAGGGTGGAGGAGGAAAGAACAGGTCGGGGACCGCGTGGGAAGCGGAGCGCCGAGAGGGAGGTGTGGGCTACGTGGAGGGCGGGCTGCGGGAGCGCCCGGAAGCGCCCGCCGAGTCGAAGGGGGGGAGGGAGGACTGCAGGGCGGTCACGGAGGTTCAGGGAGGCGGCCCGAGGGGCAATGACAGAGGCATGGCGGGCGCAAGG